AAGTTAGGTATGGAAATTGTAATGCCATTATCACATCTTAAAATTTAAACATCATTTCCTTAATAGCATAAAATACTTTGTCAGTGTTATTTTCCTGATTATCTTGTTTTTTTTTTTTCATTTGATTTATTCAACTCTGCATTCAAGGAAGAGCCACACATGGCTCTGATGTCTCCTTCAGTCTATAAATTCTCTTTCCCTCTTTTCCGTTTTCTTGCTGTCTGTTCATTGAAGGCAGCGGGTAATTTGCCCTGCAAGGATTATATAGTCTTGGTTTTGCTGGGCAAATAGTCTTGTGGTGGTGTTTGTCATGTTCCTCTGTCCCCTAGTATTTCTAGAGAATTGATCAGATGGAGGCTCAGTTTTTTGGCAAGTATATGTCAGGGTGGTGCTATAGGACGTGTTGCTGGGACCCTAGACTCTGAGAGATATGCCAAAGGAAGTTTTTACTGGGGAGGGCTCTCAGGAGCTCGGACAGTCCTTCAGAATTGTTCTGGTTGGAGGCAAGGGGTGGGGCTCTTGTGCCCTCGAGTGGGTGTCTTTAGGACAGGAGAATAAAGTGTGGTTAACCCCTGGGGGGACCCCAAGTGTCAGCAACAGGCAGGAATACCCCTCTGGAAGCTGGGGGAATGCCTGCCAAAGTCTTGGGGGTGGTACCTGAGTGGTATTCCAATCGATATTTCTTATAGCCTCACATGGGGAGCATGGGGGTGGGGGTGGTGGGAGACATACAGTCTCTGGCTGCCTCTCTTATGATGTTACAGTTGATCAGTGGGTTCAGTTCTTGCCAGCTTCATCTATTCATCACAAGCTTCCCATCAGCTTTTCCTCACTAGTTTAAGCAGCCGTAGTTAGATCTTTTATTTCATGGGGCATTAGGAAATGGTGATATTCTAATTCTAGCATTCTTGCCTCATTTAAAAGCAGGAAGTCTATAAATAACTTCCTCATAAACTGTTTGGTTATCTTGAGGTACAATTCATATAGAATAGGTGAAATAAACACTTGATTCCTTTCCTTGATTTTCCAGTTAAAATACATCCATATAGGGATGCTGAAGCTGGTGATCTACAAATCACACTTGGATTGGCAGCTCAGCATCACTAGAGATTTTAGTAGAACTTCAGACTCTCAGGTTTATAACCAGACCTACTGAATGAGGGTTTGCCATTCAATGAAATCCCATATGTCCATTAATGATTGAAAATGGCTGTAAAATAATTTCCCTTACATATATCAATAAATATTCAATTCCATACTGGCTATTGAATCTTATCAAACATCTTTTCATTATATATTGAAATGATCAACACACCTGCGCAGTGTTGAACTGCATCTTTTGATTCTTTTGTGTATGAGTATCCTTTTTATTTCTCAGTAGCATTTCATGGCATGCATATCCCATGGTTCGTTTACCCATTCATTGGTTGATGGACACCAGGTTAGTTTTTGGGTTTTCTTTTTTATTATTTTGGTTGCGCTGGGTACCCCTTGCTGAGTGCAGGCTTTCTCTAGCTGTCGTGAGTGGGGGCTACTCTTCTTGAAGTGTGTGGGCTTCTCAGTATGGTGGCTTTTCTTGTTGCATAGCACAGGTTCTAGGCCTGCGGGCTTCAGTAGTTACGGCACACAGGCTCAGAAGTTGTGGTTAAAGGGCCCTAGAGCACAGGCTCAGAAGCTGTGGCACACGGGCTTAGTTGCTCCACAGCATATGGAATATTCCCGGACCAGGGATTGAACCCATGTCCCCTACACTGGTATGTGGATTCTTATCTACTGCACCACCAGGGAAGTCCAGTTTCCAGTTTGGGATTATTACAAATAAAGCTCCATGAATATTTGTGTACAGGTTTTAGGTAGAAACATGCCTTTTCTTGGGTAAATACTGAGTGTTGAAATGGCTGAGTCATAGATTCATATTTAATTTTGAAAGAAACTGTCAATATTTTTTTAAATTTTTATAAAACATAAATTTATTTTTGACTTCCCTGGGTCTTCATTGCAGCTCATGGGCTTTCTCGAGTGGGGGCTACTTTCTAATTGTGGTGTGTGGGCATCTCATTGTGGAGGCTTCTCTTCTTGTGGAACATGGGCTCTGGAGCATAGGCTAAGTAGTTGTGGCGCACGAGCTTAGTTGCCCTGCAGCATGTGGAATCTTCCTGGACCAGGGATTGAACTAGGGCCCCCTGCAGTGGCAGGTGATTCTCAACCACTGGACCATTGGGAGAAAGTCCAATATATTTTTTCAAATTGGCCCTCAAAAAGGTTGTTTAGGTACAATTTTTAAGTTTTGGTATAATTTGTTATGCAGCAATAGGTAACTTTCACAAGTTCAGTTCTGGAAAGCAGACCTGAACCTGTGATAGAAAAGAAAGTAGAAATTCCTGCTTCCTCTCTTCTTTCTTGGATTCCTCTTTCCTTCACTTCAAATATGGGTTTAAAGCCACTATTCCAGATTTGCTCAGACTTGAAAGCCCCATGGAAAATGATGGGAACTTTATTTAAATTGGGGGATCCACCACAGAAACAATTCTGATGGATTTTGGTGGGCAGGGAATGGAAGCCAGATTGCAAGAAGGATCAACAGAACCCAGGAGGAAAAAATCTTGTAAGGAAGGGGTTTGATGGAGGGCGAAGGCTTATCTGGGGACTCCAGCATAGGAAGCACCAGCTCTTGAGTAGAATGTGAGGGTCAACTTCATCCATCCCAGCCTGAGGTTTTGTAGACTGAATTCATAATTTTTTTTCCTAATAAACTTTTCTTTTGGGGGACACACCGTCCCCTCACTGCTGTCTTCCGTTTGTGTGTGTGTGTGTGTGTGTGTGAGATCTTAGCTTCTCAACCACACCCTCAGCAGTGAAAGTGCGGAGTCCTAACCACTGGACCACCAGGGAATTCTCAGTCCTCTTCCATTGTAATCCTGCTCACATCATGTGGATCAAGTGGGACTAACCCAATCCCTGGTCTCAATGATGTCCTGATTAGAGAATTCCATTCTCCTCACTGTAGACACTGGGTCTAGCTTGGACATAAGATACAATCAAACCTAATTATTGAGTATTTGCCAGAAATATCAGAAAAGACACATACTCTCTCTCTCTTTTTTTTTTTTTCTTTTAGGAGTGAGCTGTAAAGACCACCTATGTCTACAACCACCTGCGACCATTTTTCCTTCCATCTGGAGAAATCCTGTTAGAGAATCAAGTCAACTCAGAGTGAAGAAGAGCTAACCGGTGAAGAGCAGTCACCTGTTAAGCACCTGGACCCAGCCATACCTGAAGCCCTAGAGATTTGTTTTTATCTACTAAAACCTCTTTTTTTCTGAGCTAGTTTGGAGTAGGGTTTCTGTCAGTTACCAGTGACTGCAACCTGAATAGGAGAATGCTTTGTGGCAAAATTGAAAGAAACATATTCCCCCAAGGAGCTCTACTTCAGTATCCACCCTCCTAGTAAGAGAACACAGTATGAGAACGGGAGATTGCAACTCAGTTAAATGAGACAGCTCCTCTTCCTCCTCTCCCTCCTATCATTTCCACTCCCAGCTTTCTTTCTTTTTTTTCCAGCTTTCTTTTATAATTTTACATTTCATTATTTTTAAAATATTTAGTTATTTAGTTAATTTATTTGGCTGCATTAGGACTTATTTGCAGCATGCAAGATCTTTGATCTTTGTTGTGACATGTAGTATCTAGTTCCCTGACCAGGGATTGAACCTGGGCCCCCTGCATTGGGAGTACAGAGTCTTAGCCTTACTGGACCACCACAGAAGTCCTAATTCTACATTTTAGTCTTCATTAATTACATGAACTCGTTAATTATATTTGTCTTTTAATAAATTCAGCAATGGTCTAGCTATTTCAATACTTTATTTTATTCCTTTATTTCTTTTATTGAAGTATAATTAACCTACAACACTATGTTAGTTCTAGGTGCACAACATAGTGATACAATGTTTGTATACATTACAAAGTGATCGCTATAGATGATCGATATATCTAGGAAGCTTCTGTCATTATACAAATATATTACAAGATTACTGACTCTATTCCCCATGCTGTACATTTCACCCCCATGATTTGGGTGCATATTGTAACTGGAAGTTTGTACCTCTTAGTTTTTTTCATCTGATTCTTTCCTTCCCTCAACCCCCTCCCTCTGGCAACTACCAGTTTGTTCACTGTATCAATGAGTTTGTTCTGTTTTGTTATGTTTATTAATTTGTTTTGTTTTTTAAGATTCCATATTTAAGCAAAATCATACAGTATTTGCCTTTCTCTGTCTGCCTTATTTCACTATCATAATACCCTCTAGGTCCATCCATGTTGTTGCAAAGGGCAAGCTTTCATTCTTATTTATGGTTGAGTAACATTCTACTGTGTGTGTGTGTGTGTGTGTGTGTGTGTATACACACCACATCTTCTTTATCCACTCATTTCACCTATCGCTGGACACTTAGGCTGCTTCCACATCTTGGCTATAGTAAATAATGTTGCAGTGTACATAGGGGAACATATATCTTTCTAAATTAGTATTATTGGTTTCTTTGGGAAAATACCCAGAAGTGGAATTGCTGGATCATATGGTAGTTCTATTTGTAATTTTTCGAGAAACCTTTATACTATTTTTCATAGTGGCTGCCTCAATTTACATTCCCATAAACAGTGCACAAGAGTTCCCTCCTCTTCACATCCTCCCCAACACTTATTTGTTGTCTTTTTTTTTTAATAAGAGCCATTCTGATAGGTGTGAGGTGGTATCACATTATAGTTTTGATTTGTTAATTTTTTTGCCATCCCAACTGAGAATTTATTGGCATAAGTGCAACCATATAAAAACATAAGTAATGAAAAACACAGTCATGATGTGCCCTCCACACCCGGGCGCATGAAACCCCCTTCTGTGGGGAGGGGAGGAGAGAGCCCTGAAACCACCTAAGAATGCCGCAGCCCCTGGGCCCTTTGCAGGACCAGCCTGGCTGGGATGGGAGAACCCGGGCACCGCCTTAGTGCATCCGGTAATTGGTGGAGCAGGAGAGCTCACACAGCTGGTCCTTGAAGTCTAAGTCAATGGTGAAGTCCAGGTCACGGTTGTTCTTGGCTTTGGGTCGCATGCCAATGGTGCCAAAGTTCTCCTCGCCTGTCTTCACTGTCAGATAGTCCTCCATGTAGAACACCGTCTGCTTCCAGTGAGGGGATGGAGACTCAGGGCTGTGCAGAAGCCAGTCCTTTTGTGGCAGCAGGTGAACTCGCTGTTGAAGTCGACCACCAGTGCATGCCTGCAGCCATTTGGCTTCACTTGCAGGCAGAAGGGGGAAGTGAAGGTCAGGTCTTCCAACTTGACCGTGTAGATGTCCACTTCCTTTATGAGGCATGTTGGTGACCAGCTGCTTGGGGCGCACCATGTCCACCAGGGGCTCCTTGATGGGCACATCTTTGATGCAAGACGTCAAAGCTGCCCACAACCTCCTGCCAGTGGGTCATGTGCTCTTCGCACTGCTGGTCCTCCGTGGCTGTTACATACCAGCGTGGCTCTGTCTAGGAAGATGAGGCCATTGGGCACCAGCCACTTGTCTCGGGTGTAGACTGTGGTGTTGAGCATCACTCATAGGAGAGGCAGTAGTCCATCTGTGGCGATGATGTCCACCTCCTCCACCTTCCTCTTAATGATCGTCACCATGTGGTCTAACTTGTTGGCTTTCATAATCTTCATCATGTAATCAGACCTACGGAACACTCGATCCCAATGACCCTGCGGGCCCTGGTCTTGGCAGTAAACGTGCAGAGGATCCTTGTGCCTGAGCCAACATCCAGCACCATCGTGTCTTTGAAAAGGTGCCGGCCATAAAACACGGAGTTGCAGTACATGAATTTGCGGACCTCATCTTTCATCACTTCCTCATGGATGCCGAAGTGAGCATAGTAATCAGAGTAGCAATCTTTGGACATCACGTCCTCAGCATTGGGCTTCTCAATGCTTTCAGTCTGGCCACCGGAGACCACCTCTCCAGTCTCTCTGTCCCAGTCTCTAGCTAAGCTCACAGCTGCAGAGGGGAGGGAAGGGGAAGGCAAAAGTGGGGGCAGACACAGGGAAGGAAAAAGTGGGGGGGTTACTTCTTCAAGAGGCAGCTGTAGGCTCATCCTCAAGGTGGCTACAAAATTCTCCAGGATGCAGTTCGAGGCTGTGGCTGCCGCCATCTTCAGCTGTGTCTACTCTTCCTCTGGCTGCTGAGACCCCTCCCCGCTTTCGATTTATTAATTTTTTTCTTAAGAAACAATTTTTGGATTCTTTTCAGTTCTACTGCTTTCAAATTCATTAATTCAGCTTTCATCTTTATTATGTCTTTATTCTTTCCTTTTTACTGGCTTGGCTTTAGTCTGTTTTACTTATTTATGGCCACACCACATGGCTTACAGGATGCTCCCTGATTAGGGACTGAACCCAGGCCATGGTGGTGAGAGCGCCCTATCTTAACCATTAGGCCACTAGGAACTCCAGCTTTCAGTTCAGTTCAGTCGCTCAGTTGTGTCCGACTCTTTGTGACCCCATGAACTGCAGCACGCCAGGCCTCCCTGTCCATCATCAACTCCCGGAGTCCACACAAACCCATGTCCATTGAGTCAGTGATGCCATCCAACCATCTCATCCTCTGTCATCCCCTTCTTCTCCTGCCCTCAATCTTTCCCAGTATCAGGGTCTTTTCAAATGAGTCCGCTCTTCACGTCAGGTGGACAAAGTATTGGAGTTTCAGCTTCAACATCAGTCCTTCCAATGAACATTCAGGACTGATCTCCTTCAGGATGGACTGGTTGGATCTCTGTGCAGTCCAAGGGACTCTCAAGAGTCTTCTCCAACACCACAGTTCAAAAGCATCAATTATTTGGCGCTCAGCTTTCTTTATAATTCAACTCTCACATCCATACATGACCACTGGAAAAACCATAGCCTTGACTAGATAGACCTTTGTTGACAAAGTAATGTCTCTGCTTTTTAATATGCTGTCTAGGTTGGTCATAACTTTCCTTCCAAGGAGTAAGTGTCTTTTAATTTCATGGCTGCAATCACCATCTGCAGTGATTTTGGAGCCCCTCAAAATAAATTCAGCCACTGTTTCCCCATCTATTTGCCATGAAGTGATGGCACCAGATGCCACGATCTTAGTTTTCTGAATGCTGAGCTTTAAGCCAACTTTTTCACTCTCCTCTTTCACTTTCAACAAGAGGCTCTTTAGTTCTTCTTCACTTTCTGCCATAAGGGTGGTGTCATCTGCATATCTGAGGTTATTGATATTTCTCCCGGAAATCTTGATTACAGCTTGTGCTTCCTTCAGCCCAGCATTTCTCATGATGTACTCTGCGTATAAATTAAATAAGCAGGGTGACAATATACAGCCTTGATGTACTCCTTTTCCTATTTGGAACCAGTCTGTTGTTCCATGTCCAGTTCTAACTGTTGCTTCCTGACCTGCATAGAGGTTTCTCAAGAGGCAGGTCAGGTGGTCTGGTATTACCATCTCTTTCAGGATTTTCCACAGTTTATTGTGATCCACACAGTCAAAAGTTTTGGCATAGTCAATAAAGCAGAAATAGATGTTTTCCTGGAACTCTCTTGCGTTTTCGATGATCCAGCAGATGTTGGCAATTTGATCTCTGGTTCCTCTGCCTTTTCTAAAAGTAGCATGAACATCTCAAAGTTCACGTATTGCTGAAGCCTGGCTTGGAGACTTTTGAGCATTACTTTACTAGCACGTGAGATGAGTGCAATTGTGGAGTAGTTTGAGCATTCTTCGGCATTGCCTTTCTTTGGGATTGGAATGAAAACTGACCTTTCCCAGTCCTGTGGCCACTGCTGAGTTTTCCAAATTTGCTGACATGTTGAGTGAAGCACTTTCACAGCATCATCTTTTAGGATTTGAAATAGCTCAACTGGGATTCCATCACCTCCACTAGCTTTGTTCGTAGTGATGCTTCCTAAGGCCCACCTGACTTCACATTCCAGGATGTTTGGCTCTAGGTGAGTGTGAGTGATCACACCTTCGTGATTATCTGGGTTGTGAAGATCTTTTTTGTATAGTTCTTCTGTGTATTCTTGCCACCTCTTCTTAATATCTTCTGCTTCTGTTAGGTCCATACTATTTCTGTCCTTTACTGAGCCCATCTTTGCATGAAAAGTTCTCTTGGTATCTCTAATTTTCTTGAAGAGATCTCTAGTCTTTCCCATCCTATTGCTTTCCTCTATTTCTTTGCATTGATTGCTGAGGAAGGCTTTCTTATCTCTCCTTGCTATTCTTTGGAACTCTGCATTCAAACGGGTATATCTTTCCTTTTCTCCTTTGCCTTTCGCTTCCCTTCTTTTCACAGCTATTTCTAAGGCCTCCTCAGACAACCATTTTGCTTTTTTGCATTTCTTTTTCTTGGGGATGGTCTTGCTCCCTGTCTCCTGTACAATGTTACGAACTCCAGCTTTAGTCTGTTTTAAAGTTCTTTCCCTGAAATTTTGAGTAGAAATATGAGTTTGATTATTTGTATTACTGTTTTCATAGATAATGAATGCATTGAAAGTTGTTAAATTTCACAATATTCAACTGCTTTAGGCCCAAGGTCTAACATGTGACACCTCTGAAGTCATAATGATGCAAACTGGTGTTATCAACATAAATATAATGATGTGGTATTCTTGATTTCAAAACAATCTGCCTCTGTAGCTTTCACTTTCTCTTTGATGCACAGTTATTTAAGAAAGAGGCTAGGATTGTTGTCATTGTTCTTGTCATTCGGTTTACGTTTGTGGGTGACTTCTGGTTTACTGACTCATGCACACAGAGTTAGGTCTGCTCAATTTCCACTTTGAGGGACCCTTGATATTTTCTTCCTAATATACATATGCGGTAAAAGTTTCAGGAGCAGAAAGGACTTATGTGCTGATTTGAGTGTTGTATAGAGTTTGATATGAATCTTTGTTTCAGTCCCACTTCCTTGCTGGCTGCCAACCAGGGCTTGCTCTCAGCTTCTATTAATAGAAGCTTCTCTCACTCTTTATCACTTGGCCAACCTTCATCTTCAATTCCATAGTGTATATGGAATTGTTTTCTGCTTTGAATCTCTCTGACTTCTTCAGCTGGCAGGAGAAAACTCTCCACTTCTAAGGGCTTCTGGGATTCAATCAGGCCCACCCAGACAACCTCCCTATTTTAAGGCCAACTGTAACATATAATGGGCTTCCCAGGTTGGGCAGTGTAAAGAATCTGTCTGCCAATGCAGGAGACACAAGAGACTTGGGTTCAATCCCCGTATCGGGAAGATCACCTGGAGGAGAACATGGCAACCTGCTCCAGTAGTCTTGCCTGGAAAATTCCATGGATAGAGGAGCCTGGCAGGATACAGTCCATGGGGTCCCAAAGAGTCAGACATGACTGAGCGACTGAGCATGCATGCAAGGGGTCAAGGGAAACACATAATGCACTGTAATTGTAAGAATGACACCTCATCAATGTGAAAATTCCTGGGAGCAGGTAGGATATCTTTGGGGGATGAGTGTCCTGTGATCAACAATGGCTCATAAGTCTTCACTATAAAAGATACATTTTTATCAATAAACTCTATTTTTTAAGTGCCAAAGAACATTGGTTCAAATTACATAAAACAAATCTAGCAAGAAAAGTTTGACTATGTCTGGGTGTCTCGGGCTGCCTGATTCGAGTCTGGCCTTTTAGCCAGCAGCTGGTACTAGCTAACTACAGGCAGCAATGATGGATGGTGAGCTATTTCCAGATCTGCCTGAAAGTTTTTCAGGCTATCTGCCTGGGGTCAGTGTGGTGGTCAATGTGCAGCTTTTGCAAACTAGCTACCTGAGTGTGGATCCCAATCCATCACTTAAGCCCTTGACCTTTCACTCATGCAAGCCAGCAATCCCTTTTAAAGTTTCAAAAAGCCTGAGCTGAATTTTATGCCATTTGCAATCAAACTTACCCTAAGCAATGCTGGCTATACATTAGCTTTTTAAAATATATATATTTATTTTTAATTGGAGGATAATTGCTTTACAATATTGTGTTGGTTATATATTAGCTTTTATAACAAATGGATTCTTGCGTTGGTTGTGTAGGAGTGCTTACACAGTAAACACTTACAAGGACAGTGGATTGTTTTCAGATTCTAAGATTTCCTTCCTCTGACCTCAGAGGGCCCCTGAGGGTGGGCCAACCAAAGTGATTTCTGTCAAGAGACTGTACTGCTCTCCTTGGTGGGTAAAACAAGAATCATTCCTCCTTTTTCTGGAAGAAGCCCCCTGAGGACCTCAAAGCCACTTTCACTCCTCCAAGGGCACCCGTTCGGTCTGAATATTGGCCCACGTCTATCTTCTAAACTTTTTGTTGTGTAGTTACTAAGTCATGTCTAACTCTTTGCGATCCCATGAACTGCAGCACGCCAGGCTTCCCTGTCCTTCACTATCTCCCAGAGTTTGCTCAAACTCATGTGCATTGAGTTGACAATACCATCCAACCATCTCATCCTCTGTAGCCTCCTTCTCATTCTGCCTTCAATCTTTCCCAGCATCAGAGTCTTTTTCAATGAGTCAGTTCTTCACATCAGGTGGCCAAAGTATTGCAGCTTCAGCTTCAGCTTCAGCAACAGTCTTTCCAGTGAATATTCAGAATTGATTTCCTTTAGGATTGACTGGTTTGATCTCCTTGCTGTCCAAGGGACTCTCAAGAGTCTTGTGCACTACAGCTCAAAAGCATCAATTCTTTGGCGCTCAACCTTCTTTATGGTCCAACTCTCACATCTCTACATAACTACTGGAAAAACCATAGGTTTGACTATACCGACCTTTGCCGGCAAAGTGACGTCTCCACTTTTTTTTTTTCCATTTTTTAATACCTTGTCTACGTTTCTAAACTTTATCCCTCAACTAAGTGGTAACCGCTCATGGTACAAAACCTTCTTTAGACAAATAGGCAGAAAGAAGAGAATAAAATCCCTGGAGTTCCATTGAAAGTGAAAGTCGCTCAGTCCTGCCTGACTCTTTGCGACCCCATGGAATTCTCCAGGCCAGAATACTGGAGTGGGTAGCCTTTCCCTTCTCCAGGGGATCTTCCCAAACCACGGATGGAACCGCGGTCTTCCACATTGCAGGCGGATTCTTTTTTTTTTTTTTTTTGCAGGCGGATTCTTTATCAGATGAGCCACAAGCGAAGCCCAAGAATACCGGAGTGGGTAGTCTATGCCTTCTCCAGCGGATCTTTCCCACCCAAGAATTGAACATGGTTTCCTGCATTGCAGGCGGATTCTTTACCAATTTAGCTATCAGGGAAGTCCATTACAAGGAGAGAATTCTTATTAAATAGTCTGGCATGGAGATTTCTGGTATTTCTGAGGCATACATGCCCTTAGGGATACAAGCGGATAACTTGGGGTACAAGGATTTCAAGTTAACCGATTTCACGTAACAGCTCTAATCGTCCTCCTCTTTGTCACTATGCCCACCGTGGTCGGCTGGGGGCGCTCCCTGCCCTGTAGTGGGATGGTTCTGGCTCCGCGGATGACTCCAACCCTCCGGCCCCTCCCCGCCCCTTGGATCTTCTCAAGGGCCCTGCCCCGGGCCGCCGCTACGGAGACGGCGCGGAGGGGTCTTCCCAGCGCACCGCGCCCCGAGCCTCGCTGCGATCGCGGCGCGGGCCAACAGGCAGGTCTCACTAGGAGATGCCGCACTCTCCACCTCTAGTCCAGGCCCCCGGGGTCCTGTGGATTCCACCACCACCCTCCCTTGGCCTCCCCACCTCCGACGGCAGAGCGCGATGGTCCCCACCGAAGCCTAGGTGGTTCAGCGCTGGCCTCTGGGTTCGGGTTGCGCTGATCACTCTCCGGCGCCCTCACCCTCAGTCCTGCCTGGGGCGAGGGCAGGAATTCCGGGCATTCTTGTTAGATTCGACACCAGAGAAAACCAAAGCGCGAGCAGATTCCTGACCTATCACCTGCTGCTCTGCAGGGTCAGTTAATCCCCGCCCGGGCGTCGGCCGGAGTCACCTGGGCGGGGTTTTGAAACACCTAGACTAGCGCCCACCTCCGAGGTTCGGGTGCACCCCTCCTGGGTTGGGGCCTGAACGCCAATTTTTTTCCCCAAAGCTCCGCGGGGAGTGAGGGCTTTGCAGACGAGCAGCGGGGCTGAGCCCCTTTGGAAGGGATTGAGCTCTAGGCTCACCTGAAGGTGTAAAATTTATTCCAAGATGCAAGTTTGGTATCAGAAATATATGCAAAAAATGGCATTCTAAACCATAATGAGTCTGTGTTCATTTTAATATAAAAGATGGTAAAAGATACCTTTTAGAAAAAAGAAACGCCTAACTCCTACAGGTATGAAAATTAACACGAGGTAAAGATTTATTTTATTCGTAAGAGGGTAAGCTGATGTTATAACTGGTTCACAGGAGACTTGTCTAAAAGCACAGATTTGTATGGAATGAAGGAATTGAATTGCTAACGGAGGCAAAACTGGTTTTTCCACAGTGGGGAGAGAAGTTGATGGAATCTCTCCCTTTCTGTGTTTTTTAAAAAATTATATTTACAATATATTTCTTAAAATTTTTTTATTTTAGAGAAATTTAAAATTGAAGAACAGTTGATTTACAAAGTTGTGTTAGTTTCAGGTGTACACTCGAGTGATTTAGTTTTGATTATAAATCTTCTCTTTCAAATTCTTTTCCATTATTGATTATTGCAAGATATTGAATGTACTTCCCTGTGCTTTATAGTAGGTGCTTGTTGTTTACCTATTTTATATATAGTAGTGTGTGTATATGAATCCAAAGCTCCCAATTTATCCCTCCCCTATTTTCTGTGATTTTAAAAAAGGTGCAGAATAGCTCCAAGACCATGAACTGGGCTAGAAGCAGACAGCTTGGGGGTTGTGTATTAGACAATGTATAGTGTTCCACTAAACAGAAAAGCTTGTCTTCACAATATTTTTTTTAAACTATGTGGAAATAAAGTTTTCCTACAGTGCTAGTCCTGCTGGGCTTCTTCAAACCCCAAATACCCAATTTCCAGTCACTCATGGGACACTACATTTTTCTACTTTGGGGACTGTCAGGCAAAACCCCACAAATACATAAGGAGGTTCCTGGAAGACAAAAGGGTTGGGGGTTAGGTGCAGAGACTGAGTTCAGACAGTGCTTGGTCACACAGGCGCTGTGGGACCCTACTCTGGGGAGCCTCCGTTTCTTCACTTGACTGTCGTCTTCGTCTATAACTGGTTCCACAGAAGCTTCCCTCCCTGCTCCTTCTCAGCCGAGGTGGACAGAGTGAGTCTCCCCAGAACAGGCTTTCTTTGTTAAGGGTAGAGTTCTTTGAGTGGTCTCCTTTAGTTATGCAAATGTGGCCAAGCAGCACCCATTGCCTGGCAGGAGACCTTCTGTGGCCTGACAAAGCTACCTCTTCTGCCTGGCAGGAGACCTTCTGTGGCCTGACAAAGCTACCTCTTCTGCAGGCCCCTTAGGAATGCAGGACTGGAGGCAGGACAGCAGTGGGGAAGCGTCTTGCCTTTGAAGCTCGGGGTCTTTGGGGAGGAGAGGGTTTGAGACCCACTTCCCCTTCCCCCCAACCTGTTCCCCAGGATCTGATTGAGGACTGACTAAAATTTACCAGCAGCCCTGGAAAATTGCTTCCCAGTGACAGAACCTGAGTGAATTTGTAGGGTCCCCCCGAACTCCGTGTCACTCACTGAGTCTCAGGACCCAGCGCCCCTAGCTGGCTTCTTCTGCTCTTTGGAGAAGAGCAAGCGAGGGTGACTAAGAGAATTGTTCTGTCTATGAATCGTGGGCCCCGCTGCTGCCTCTGTCAGGAAGACAGTGCCTCAGAGTCCACAGGACTGTGGGGGCCCATGTGCCAGGGTGTCACCGTGTGGGATGAGAGGCAACCACTGCAGAGGGTGGCTCAGACTTTTCCCGGACACACACTCGGGATCAAGGAAGCCCTTGAGGTTCCAGACAATTAAGGACTGAGTGGGCTCTGAAAGGGAGAGGTAGGATTTGATGGGGAGAAAGATAATTTCCCCCTCTGGCCTTCTAGGTTCTTGGCGGAGACCCTTCTCTGTATAAGAAAAGACAGGTTAAGAAGAGAAAAACATACAGAATGATATGTATACCTTCTGTATGCATGAAGGATACCCGGGAACTCTCCGAGAATGGCCAAGCCGCCAGCTTAAATAGCACCTCTGGCCAAGATGTTGTGGTGCAGGGAGCACCAGGACACTCCATCCAGCCTCATCTCCAACGCTGTCCACACTGGGCAGCTGGCAGCTCCGATGTCCTGCTTTTTTTGCACTCCTGGGCTGTTGCACGGCCCCCTGTCTGGACTGTCCTTCCTTCCCCTTCCACCACAGGCAAGCCCCTACTCCTTCTTCAAGACGCAGGTGCACTGGCAGGCCTGGTGATGAAGCCTGCTCCCCACCCTGTGCTGGGGGGTCATATTCCACTGGCCTCCTCACAGGTGGGTTCCCTGCCCTTCCTCCTGCTGTGCTAACGCTGGCGCCCCACCCCTTTCCCAGCCCTCTGCAAGCTCAGCCTGGGCCTCTGAGGTCTGAAACGGGGTCAGACACAACGGTCCCCCTGGGGCTGAGGCTGAGGGCGTTCCCATGCTGGAAACTTGCTGCTTCCACCGAGTCCCTGCGGCTCAGCTGGAGACAGAGCGAGCCTAGAGGCAGGGGTGCGCACCCAGGGCCCCACTCCCGGTCCCTGCCTCTCAGGATCAAGTTTGAACACCCCTCTGCAACCCAGGAGGCCCTGAGATCCTCTTCTCACACCCCAGCTCCCCCCACCCCATCACTCCATCCTCCCACTCTTGAGGAGCAGCTATCTGCTTCAGCACGCACCTGCTCAGCATCCTTCAGGTGATTTCTGAGCACAAATGCTGTCTCTGGGCCCCCACCTGTGCGCTGGGACCAGTGACCCTTCCATCTCTGTCTCCTGGCTGTCTCTCCATGGCTCTTGCCCTGGCTGGACTGAGCTCTGGGAAGGCAGAGACCCTAGAGCCCCACCCTGCTGTCTGCAGCCCCCAAGCTCAGATGATGAGTGAAAGACAGAGAGCTGGTGACGTGTGCATTCACCAGGTCCCACCTCAGAAGGGCCAACTTGGTGGTGACATTCTTAACATTCGAAGATGGTGCCTTATATTAGGACCCAGCCCTTGCTCTCACTCATTTGGGGAAGAGGCCTGGTGTGGACATTAATAAGCAAGTGATTCTCTCAGGGCATCTGACCCGTTGAGCACAGGCAGGGAGCTGCTGGCTTGCCCACCGTACCCCAGTGTCCTTCCTCCTGGAGCTGACTGCCCTCCTCACCCTGGAGGTAAGCAGTTTTGGCCAAGGTTCCCTGTACAGTGCAGTCCCCCCATCACTGGACCCCACTGTTTCAATGTTTCTTATCAATCTGATCTAGGCTCAAGGCTGACTGCAGCAATATCAGGAAGCCCACTAGTCCCTGCAGGCGCCCACCCCACCCCGCTCACTGTCACCCCAGCCTCAGGGGCAGCTCAGGCCCGGCCCTCACCAGAAAATGCTCTCTGAGCTGCACGTCTCTCTTGCACCTCACCCCCCAACCAGGGGCCCATGTGGCCTCTGCTTTCCTCCTGGAGATCAAGAGGCCCTTCAGAGGGTCCTTGTGTACCCACCAGCCAATAACAAGGAACAAGCTGTGTCTTGTTGGAAATGGCGACAGGAAATTTCACACTGGGGAGGGGGAGAAAAAAAACAGTCCCCTTTTATTAAGAAAATAAGAGTTAATCCCTCACTTTTCCCAGGGGACTTGACCCTGATGCAAGGTGACATCTTCTGCAGCCATCCCCCAGGAACCCCTGAACCCAAGTGGGGTGGGCACCAAGTCACTCCATCCCTTCACAGGGGCCAATGCTGGTCTGCTCAGGGCCTGGAGAAGTAGGCTTGCAGGTGGGCATGGCTCTGGAGGCTGAGGGGGGAGCTGTGATGGGCATGGGGGTGTGTGCCTGGGGTGGGGGCGGGGCTGAGGGGACAAGAGTGGCGGAGGCAGGCGATGTCTTGCTGAAATAAGGGAAGGGAAGAACACCACCTCTCCCGCCACCCTCCGAGGCCTGGAGCCTTCTCCCTCCGAATTCTTCATAAATAAAACTTCACAGTAATGGAGGCATATCCTTCCAGGGTCAGACCAGCTGGTTTCCGACTGGGGGAGCCAGGACTTGCGAAGCAGCACTGGGACTGCTGGGACTGGAGCACGGCTCTCTGGCCCTGTGTCTGGGGGCAAGGGAGTGGGGGCTGGGGTGCGGTGAGGTGGGGCTGCAGCCCATCCAGAGGTTCTGAGGATCACTGAGGTAGTCAGAGCCGCTGCTCTGGCTTCCGGACAGACAGGAGCCGGACAGAGCAGCGCGGGACGCAGCCAGGAGTGAAGCCACCTGGGAGCAGAGACTGTGCAGTCAAACCCCAGGAGGGTCAGGGCCCCAGGGGGCAGGGGGGTGCTGAGGGCCTTGGGCGGCTCGGTCTCCAGGAGCCCCCAGAGGCGTTGACGGGGGGAGGCCTGTGAGCCTGCACAGGGTTGAGCTTTCTCCTGAAAGGGCTTCCCAAGCAGCCCACGGGGAGACTGAGGCATTTCACAGAAGCTGGAGGATCCTCTCTGTGAAGACAAGAGGGCAGCCCTGGACCCGTCGAGGGCAGGTCAAGCCCGGGTACCTGAGCACAGGGTTCCTTGAGAGGCCATCAGTGCCTCCCGCCCGGTTAGAGGGAGCCAGACCACAGACCCAGGCTAGAAGGGCTGCCAGAGAACCAGTCTCCAGTCTGGGCCGTTTGGAACGTGGCCGGGCCTCAGTCCCGGTCACCCGCACCCCACCACACCCAGGGGCACGTAAGGCCCACCCCTCCACCTCCCTGCAGGGGACCAGAGGCGGTGCCCTGGCCTTGCAGCTGCAGCCTCGTGACTCGCAGGCACTCCGGAGCACATGTTCCTCGTCAATCCTGATGGCCCGGGCCAGGTCAGAGCACCTGGAGCTTGCGGGAACAGGTGAGGTTGCCATGCACCAGCTCCCACATGGCCAGCAGCTCGGTGGGCAGAAGCTTGTGCACGACAAGCATGGAGCGGAAGAAGCAGGGCTCCTTGTTCATGCGGCTGTTGCGATTCCTGGAGATGCCGAAAGTCTTGAAGCCCTCGTGGGCCATGGGCCGCACGCCCAGCACCTCCAGGCACATGCCCAGGAAGACGTCGTCGATGGGGTAAAGCTCCAGGGTGTCGCAGCTGTGGTGCAGGCGCTGGGCCAGTCCCCTGGCCATAAGGAAGCCCCCTCCACCTGCGTAGGGCGGGTAACTGTTCTGACTGTATAAGATCCCGGGGATGTAGTACTTGCTATCCTTCCGGCGGATGGGCCGGGCGTGATGCAAAACGTCGCCCACAAACAGGTCCTCCTGGGGCCGCCGGTCGGCTAGAAATTCCAGCAGGTTGGTAGGGTTGACGAAGACATCGTCATCACCCTTGAAGACAAAGCGGACATCAGGGCAGTAGATGTCGAGCCACTTGAGGAAGTGGATCTCCTTGAGGGTCAGGTTGAAGAAGCTGTCAAGGAAGTCCCATTGCAGTATGTCCCCGTAGATGCGGTCCTCGTAGGCCAGCAGCTGCTGGTAGTGGGACTGCTCCTCCGGCTTGGAGGCCTTGCCCAGCAGGAAGAGAGTGCGCACTGCACCGCGGCCCCTGCCCGCCGACTCCTGCTCGCGGCCCCAGGTCTGGCGGATGGCCTCGCGGCGGTCATGCTGCACGATGATGGACTTGACGACCACCAGCAGGTACACATCACCGCTGCACTTCTCTGGATGATTGAGAAGCATAGGAAAGTAGCGGCAGTGGCGATAGGACAGAAACTGCTGGAAGTGTGGCTCCAGGCCCTGGAACCAGGGTTGGTGGGTCAAGTTTACATTGGCCGAGCAGTTAGTGGTGTTCACGTCCCAGGCCTGGGGCCTCCGTGAAACCACGGGAGTGGGGGTGACTGCCTCCTTCGCGCTCTTCCAGAAGCTGTCAGGGTTCACCAGGAGTCCGCTGGGTTTCTGGGCCTTCTGTTGCTTGAGGGAGGCTGGCGGGGGCTCCTGCAGAAACTGGCTAGGGGTCAGACTGCGCTGGAATACCGTTACGGCCACGAGCAAGGCCAGGGACAGGCACACGCTCTTGTAGACGGTTCTCTTCCTGGGGGTAGGGGTGAGGTGGGGAGCGGATGGTTCAGAAGAGAGAAGAAAGGATGAGTCAGTCCCCTTGTACAGAGCTGCAGTCCCAGATGGGCAGATGGCCCCTGTACACAGACTCAAGTCCCCGGGCCCCTGAGTGGTCAGAGGAGGGTCTTGCTTCTTCTCCCGTTCTGACCTCCCTCCTCCAGGACCAGGGAGCCACATAACACAGAGCTTAAGTACAGGCGCTGTGGAGTCAGGCTCCTGGAGTTCAGATTTTGGTCCTGCTATGAATGGGGAAAATTGCCCCCCAACCCCTCCACCCCGTGGCTCAGTGGTAAAAAAAATCCGCCTGCAATACAGGAGTCGCAGGAGACGTGGGTTCGATCCCTGGGTTGGGAAGATCCCCTGGAGGAGGGCATGGCAACCCACTCCAGTATTCTTATCTGGAGAATCTCATGCACAGAGGAGCCTGGTGAGCTACAGTCCATAGGGTCGCAAACAGTCAGACATGACTGAAGTGACTTAACACACGCATGCACTTACTGAATACAAGCTATATGGAGACGTTTTGTGATTTCTCTTAACCTCTCCAAGCTGTGATTTTTTTTTCTTTCTCAAAATGAGGATAGCACGCAACTGGCGTGTCAACTGCAGTGCTGGGCACAGAGTGGGTTTGGAGTTGGGGGAATGCTGTGATTCTACAAGGGGTTGACCTGCCCTGCTCCCCATCTCTCCCTCAGGCACCCTGTTTGCTTTGTGCAAACCTGGTGAACCCCTGGGGTAAACCACTGGGAGGTGCAGAGATGACACCTGTTCAAAAAGTATAGGGGATACTGGGGAGAAAGCTCTCACCTAGAACCTGAAGAAGCCTGTCCCTCCCCTCCCACCCCCCATCCATCTGACCCAACAAAAAAAAGAACAGTTCTCACCATTGACAGAAGCCTGAAAATGGGGCGAGCATCTCCCAGCAAGCCCACTGTCTGTGTAGCTCCAGTCTGAGCCCCACTAAGAGAGCTGAATTCCCCCAGCTCTGCTGCCTTGAGAGGGGCACAGTTGGACCCCCACTCTCCAGGGCCCCTCATGCCAAGTTAACCCCACTACACCCCTTTAGGAAGCAGAAATCAGTTGTTTTCTAGGAGCGCTCGCAGGGCCAGGGTCCTGAGTCCTTGGGCCCTGAGTCCCTGGGCCCAGGGACCCTCTCTCCTCAGCTCACAGTCTGGGGAGACCCAGGCCACCTGCCATGTTCTCTTCTGGGGAGAGGCAGATCTGGGGACTCCAGGAAAAGGGCAGGCCAGAAAAGTGTGGTTTCACAGGGCCAGGCCAGAAGGGTGCCAAGAGGGGAGATTCAGGGTGATGGGAGAGACAGGCAGCAAAGTGGTGAGACAGGGACCAGGTGGTCCAGCCTGGGGTGGCCTCAGGACTGGCTGATGAAAGGTGCAGGCACCCAGGGTGAGTGATGCAGAGCCCAGTGGAGAGACATTTTCCCATGGGCTCCCAAGATATAGAGTTGGAGGGAGGCTGGGTCATCTCAGGTGCTGGGGTGGGGTGTGACCCAGACCCCATCCTCCCAGGAGGAGGACAGGGGGGTACTCTGGCCTGGTTTGTTGGGTTGGACTGAGGGGGTCACCCCAAAGAGGGCCATGAGGCTATACCCCTTCACTCCAGGCTGTTTCCACTCCATTTGTGGGGGAAAAAAAGCCCCCCAGTGCAAGGGAAGCGGTGGGCAGGCCGGAGGCCCCAGCTCCCAGAGAGGAAGGAGAGCCACTCGGGGTTGAGGGTGGAGGACAGGGGTCGCCCAGGACGCAGGAGGCCCTCGGAATCGGGGACGGGACCCAGCTACCGGAGAGACCTTGCGGTCCCCAACTCCGCGGATCCAGGAATGAGATCTGGGTGCCTTGGGGCCAGAGCGTAAGAGAGCATACGGGCGACAGGGTAAGGCTGAGCGCACGAGTCCACCGCGGTCCTCCAGTCGCCGACCGGCCGGCCCAGGCGTCGCGTACGGCCGGGCATCTCCAGCCATCGCCGCGCCAGCCCAGCTGCGCCCGGGAAACGGAGGCCAGCCCGCGCCCCCCGCGACCCGCGGCATCCCTCACCGCGCCCTCAGCCCGGGTCCCCGGCCCGACGGCCCCACTCACCACAGAGACATGGCGGCCCGGGCCACGGCGGCGGCGGAGCGGGGCGCGCGGATCGCAGCTCTGGGCGCCGCGGGCTCGGGGACGGCGGGCGGGCGGGGACGAGGAACGGGACAGGGACTGGGGCGGGCGGGGGCGGGCGGGGGCGGAGGTCCGGCCGCGCCCCCGCCGAGGCTCTCCACTTCCCCACGGCCGGAGGAGGGGCCGGCAGGGTAGGCGGCGGCCCAGGTATGTTAACCCCTTCGGCGCCCCCCCCGGCCCTCCATCCCCGCGGCCTCAGGGCGCAGCACGGCGGGGTGGTAAGTGACCCATTTTCCGGAGGTGGCACCCGAGCCCCGGCGGCGCGCGGAGCCGCCCACGGTCATTCGGCCGGAGAGTGAGTGGCCGAGTCGGGACATCGGAATCCACGAAGGTCACTCCCGCCACCGGGGACGGGGGTTTCCCCCCCGTGGGGGGGCTTCCCCGGGGTCGCCGGCCCCTCTGGATGCTTGCGAACCGGGACCCCACCCACCTCCAATCTCTCCGGGGGCACGGGGGCCCCGCCATTTCCCTCCAGCCCCGTCCGGCCTTTTTCTGGGTGGGGGAGGCAGAGACAGGGCTTCCTTTCCTCCTGTCTGTTTCCCTCTGCCCTCTCTCCCCTGGCCCCTTCCAGGCAGGACCCCCCACCCACCCCCGCAACCCGCTATCTAAGGTGGGATCTGCAGAGGAGAGGGACTGGGGCGGAGAGAGCTGAACCCCAAGCAGAGGTCAGGAGGCCGCTGGGCTGTCTGAGTGGGGACTTACCCGAGTGGGAACAGCGGCCCACGCCGCAGCTCTGAAGCCTTCTCTTTGCCCCGGACAATGGCCTTCTCCATCTCTGGAGCCCTTCCAATCCCAGAGAACCCCTCCTCACAGCCAAAAGGCCTGTCTGCTGGCCGAGCCTGCCTTTTCATTTGTCAACTAGTATTTCACTTCAAACCCCTTTTTGTCCCTAAGCCTTTATTAATCTGTTTGTGTATGCCACACCCAGCGACTCCTAGGGAGTGGGCTGCATGAAGACAAAGAATTCCTGGGGTGTTCTTGGCCCAGTCGGTCCCGGGTGGTGGGTATTCCACCCAGGTGATTTCCAGAACCCCCTAAAAGGTAAACCCCCCCGCGGGTCCTGCTATTGCTCAGGCCTGTTCTAGCCTTGTTCCACGTTGAAGTCCCATCCCTGAGCTTACAGTGCTGTGCTTAGTCGATGAGTCCTGTCCGACTCTGCGAATCCACAGACTGTAGCTCTCCAGGCTCCTCTGTCCATGGGGATTCTCTAGGCAAGAATACTGGAGTGGGTTGCCATTCCCTCCTCCTGGAGATCTTCCCAACCCGGGAATTGAACCCAGGTCTCCCACACTACAGGCGGATTCTTTACCGTCTGAGCCACCAGGGAAGCCCCCGAACTTACAGTAGGGCCTCAAAAATGCCCGTAGTAGTGACACAAGCGTTTTGCAGGCCAGTAAATAAGAGCTAACATTCATCAAGCAGTGCAATATGCAAAGCACACTTGAGGCCCATGCGTGAGTGACTCAGTCCTAGAGGCTATTATTATTATTACCACTCCACAAAGGAGGAAATGAAGGTGCCTGACTCCTGCCTGTCAGCTCTCATAGTAAGCAAACCCAGGAGGCCTGCCTGGTTCCAGAGGCAGGCTCTTTTGCCTTTCACCCAGGGAGCTCCTTCCTGCTAGGAGGCCCTCAGGGAGGCCAGGAGGCCCCCAGGTACAGTAAGAGACTGGAGATAGGAAGCCTGAACCCCTGAGGCTTGGGTGAGCAGGTCCTTCCTTAAGACTCCAGAGCCTTAAGGAAAAGAGGAGGAGGAGAAACAGTCGTTAGAATTTCTTCCGGATGTTGCAAGCTTCAGTGAGGGAATGTGAAGGGCCTTTCAGGTCGAATTCCAGAGGAGGACCCTGGGACCAGTGCCCTTCATAGCAGCCCCTTCCAAGTGCCAGAGCAGGAAGAAGGTCTGACTTGCAGCCCAGCCCCCTGGGCCTGGCTGCCTGCTTTTGGGGAACCCCCACAGTCCCCCTGGCCACCCATCCCACAGGGCACCAGGTAGCTCACTGCTTGGGCTTCTGCTTTGCCCTGCAGGTGTGGCCTTGAGGGGGCTTGTGCTAGCCTGGCTGAGGACAGTCTACCCTGCCTCAGCGTTTACGTCTTACACAGAAGCTGTGGGGTCTTTTTAGGAACCTAGTTGAGGGTGGACACAGAGATCCCTGGGAAGGGGTTTTGAACCTGGATTTGGGGTCTTCCCTGTAGCTCAGATGGTGAAGAATCTGCCTGCAATGCAGGTAATCTGGGTTCGATCCCTGGGTTGGGAAGATCCTCTAGAGAAGGGAATGGCAGCCCACTCCTAGTATTCTTGCCTGGAAAATCCCACGATAGAGGAGCCTGGCGGGTTACAGTCAGTGGGGTTGCAAAGAGTCGGACACGACTGAGCGACAGGCACCACTACTACTACTGCTGGACTGGAGAGTGTGGGGTATGCAGGTTTGCACTTCCTGACTGTCACTAGGAGCAGGTGGCTTATCCCCTTGAGACCTCAGTTTCCTGCCAGCATGGAATTACGGAGATGACGCATGAGAAGCTTGATCAGTGTCTCCTTAGTGGTGGCATTGTGACAGACCGGTTGCCGTGAGTATTATTGTTGTTAATATTTACCCAATCCATAAGGCCACAGAACCCAGGAAGGCTCAATGAGGTGGGGATGGGAGGGCCCCGCCAGCAAAGCCAGCCGAGTGTTTGCCAGTGGAATCTGGTCCATTGAGAGAAACGGTTTGTCATCACGGATTCATTTGATCTGTGCCTCCGGTCGAACTCAGACTGGGAAAGGGATGGCAATTAAATACTCAGTGCCTGACTGTGGGGTGGGGGCAGGGGCTGTGGGCACCTGGCCAGGCCCTGGTCAAGCTTTCACTGTCAGTCCAACAGGCTTCCCTGAGGCTGCCTGGGCCTGTCTCTGTCAGGAGAGCTGGAGCTCACCCCATCTGGCCCATTCCAACGGTCCTTCAGGCAGAGTCCTGGCAGATTCCTGCCAATGGTCTCAAGCCGTGGCTGGGGTGGTTGAGCAAGGCCCCCGAGGAGGCAGAGGGCAGCTTGAAGAGGGGATCAGTCACCTGCCCCACCGCCCTGGCTGAGGACACAGGGCAGCTGCAGAGACAGATCCAGGAGGTGGGGGGGTGGGGTGGGGTGGTCTGTGGGTCACCCTGGAGAGGGGCTGGGGGATGGAAGCATCTGGTTGGGGTGGGGCTGGAGTCCCAAGTGTGGTGGAAGTGGGTCAGGTGTCCCCTGTCCCACAGTCATTCTTTGCTCCCCTCGGGTTGGTGTTCTGCCATGAAAGTGGGGGCTCAGTGAGTCCTGTCTGGGAGAATCTCAAGAGCCCCCGCTTCTCCTTCCCCCTCTTTTTCCACACACTTTGGACCGTACCCCCCTTTCCCTCCCCACCTCTCCTCTTCTTGTTCCTCTCCCGGTTCCCTTTCCCCACGCCGCTCCCCAGTTTCTGTCACATCATCCCCCACCAACCCTCCGGAATGGATTGGGATCCAGCCCCTGCTGGTTTCTCCTGAGGACAGATGCCCAGGGCCAGGGCTGGTTGAGCCCTCAGATGTGGGGGGCAGAGGCGGGTCTCTGCCAGACCAGAGGGTGCCCTGGGTCAGCCCCTGGGCAGACAAGGTGTGAGGAGCTCTGGGCACCTGGGAGAGAGGGAATGAAACCCAGAGCTGGGCAGGGGCTGCAGGCTGGAGAGCAGCCGTGACCACAGTCACATCAGTGCAGCAGCGTGATGTGGGTGAGTGTGTGAATGGGTGAGTGTGTGAATTCACACACTCCCAGGCAGGAGTCCACACCCTGGGGGCAGCCATGGCCAGCGCTGCAAAGTGGCCAGCACGCTTGCACCGCAGGGTCTGTTAATTCACACTGGAGTCTCAGAAATCATCGCTCTCTGGTGAACATGTGTACCTGGCCAGAAACTGGACAGGCCCCTCTGTTTGAGTCTGAATGAGCCCCGTAAGCCAGCAGCACAATGCCCAGGCCAAGAACTTTCTTTCATTGGTCTTGGGTCCTTCCATCCACAGCAATCTTGCCGGAGGTATGAGCTTGAGAAGAGGAGGAGAGGTGGCCACATCCCCTGCCTGGGATCTGAGAAAGCCAGGGAGGGACGGTGGAGTGTGAAGCATCAGGCAAGGGTGAACCTGTACACCCTCAGACCCACAACTAAGGCAAGGATTGTCCAGGGCCCCTTTGGCTGCAAGTGACAGAATTCCACCTCAAAGTAGCTCAGGCTTGTTAGACAGGCCAGCGATCGCACCTGAGGGGTTGGGGTGCTGCAGTCGTCCAGGCCGGGGTCACGTATTGCCTGCTGTGGTGGTGGGAATGACTGTGAGGGTGTAGATCCCTTAAAGGAAGCAGCTAGCCTCACACAGGCAGGCAAAGAGCTGCCCAGGCCGGTCTTCCTGCTCACAGTCCCTTAGACTGTCAGCTGCCCTCTGAAACAAGCTCTGAAGCTGGAGGGCCCCAGAAGGAGGAAGAAGGGTGCTGGCTGTGTGGCAAGTGTCTGCGCATGTTTTCCTGACAAGTCCTTCTCTCCTGGGGAAGGAGCTCTAGGTTGGTCCGTGGGGACTGGGTATAGCGCCCTCGGGGGGCTGGCCACTCTCTGACTCCTTTGCTGTGCCTGGGCCCCTCTTGGGTGGTGATACAATGCAGGGCCCTGTGGAGCTCCTGGGTATAAGGCCTTTCTCTGTCTCCCATCAACAGCCTTGATTCAGCTTCCATGACCTTCCCTGAGTTCAAGCAGTTGTTAATCAGGGAAGGGAAGGGGTATGAGACCAGGGAGAAACAAGCAGTCAAGAGCAGCTTTGGGGCAAGGTCCTGTTTCTCCATCAGTGGATACACACAACAGTGTCTTTGAGCTACTTTGCAGATACTGAAACCCCCTCCACGTGCGTGAAGTTAGTGATTAATGATGGTACACTGCCCACAAGCCTGTAGACCCCAGCCCAGCTGGACCTGAAGGTTGATGATATTGACTGCTACTTAGCTCCTCACCAACCCATGAACTGATCAATTTGAACAATTATTGTAAAACTTCTATCGTCCTCAAGTTGGGACACATGGTTTTCAGGGCGTTAGCCTACTGTGAGCCCTTTTACCTGGCAAAGCAATAAAGCTACTCTTTTCTACTTCACCCAAAACTCTGTCTCCAAGATTTAATCTGGCACCAGTGTACAGAGAAGCTGAACTTTTGGCATCACTGGTCTGGGGGCAGCTGAAGCCGCCCTGGCCTTGATGGGTCGGGAGCCAGTCATGTGTGGGTGGAGCTGGGCAGACAGAGAGAAGCCAGAATCAAACAGGCCTGGGGTGGGGGCAGGGCTCCCTCTGAAGGCTGGGCAGGAGTGGAACGTGCACTCCCAGGTGCTGCCCTGGACACAGACCAGCTGGGCTGCACCCCAGGCTCCTGAGGGCTGGGTGTGGTAGGCACTCACAGCAGACACACACACAGCCACGCAGGCCGCCAAGCAACAGACCGAGACACACACAGCAGGGACAGGCACACACACACGGACGTACTCAGAGACACACAGCGCTCATGCACAGACACACTCACATGGAAGCATGCTTGTTCAGAGAAAGACACACACGTAACAATCATAGTCACACACATACACACACGAGATACATGCACATGT